CCCGCATTTCCTAAAGAATGAGTTATGTTTCAACTTATCCGGCAAGACGACATCACTTGGATATATCGCCTAGTGGGGGGTCTATCTCTCGTAAAGAATGAGCTTTACTTTATATTTTTAGCGATAAGAAACCCCTTGGTTTTATTGCCTAGTGGGAAACACGCATTTCGTAAAGAATGAGTTATGCTTCATCTTTTTCTGTGAGACGGTATCCCTTGGCTATATCTCCTAGTGGGAGGCTCGGCTCTCGTAAAGAATAAAATTTTACTTTATCTTTTTAGGTAAGACGGTATCCCTTGGCTTTAACGCCTAGTGGGAAGTCCGCATTTTTGCACTTGGTGGTTGATCAGACCCTCAAGTTGTTTACGCAGGACGTCTGCCCATTTACCTAAGTTTTTTGTGGTGGGTAAGACTCCCCTGAGCTTTAGGTGCTCTATTTTTGGAGCTTTGGGGAGTGAGAAACCAAGGTTCGGGTTGGCCAGGCCCTTTGTGATCCTTGATATCTTCCCCTTTAGCAATGTTTTGAGTCAATTGATTTTTTGTTAAATCGATTGTAGATGCCTCGAACGAAAACGCGTAAAGAAGACAAATGGTTGATGTAGAAATTATGGCGGCGGTATCCCACCGACTAAAATAGTTTATTAAGAATCATGCTGGCGGTATGCCTTGAAAATATTATGCGGGGCGGTATGCCACCGACTTATTGCTGAAAAGAAATTACAAGGGGCCCGCATGGGGCAATAGTAAATACTAAGTAAAGTATTTCTCCAGGATTGTGATTGTTCTAAGAATTCTCTCAAGTGCCCGTTATGGACAAGTCTTTCGAGCGCTCACATAAGCTGAAAATACTCATCAATAGTGTGACATCGATCTCTGTGGTATTCACAGTAATCATCCAAAGTTTTTCGTTCTGGATTCTCCTTCATCCATCTCGGTGGTTGTAGAATTCATTTTTGCTCTGCAATGATCATTATGTCAACAAACTTATCATTGAGAGGTGAGAACTTCTCGAATGTGCGATTTTTGGCGGGACGCCTCTCTTCTTTTCTATTATAGTTGTGGCTTCCCTCATCGCGCTTTCGCTTAAGAGGTACCCTCATCTCTGCAGTCTCCTCAATTCAAATATACTTCTCAGTGTGATTCAAGAGCTCCTTTAGGGTCATAGGGGGTTGGCCTGCGATGTACTCTTGAAAACGAACATGCTTCAAATTGCGTTACAGTATGTCGGTTAACATTTCGTGATTAAGGAGGCGCGCTTCTTGTATTGCTTTGACAAATCGTTGCAGGTAATTCATGAGCGACTCTCCATCCCGTTGTATGACCTTGAAGAGATACGACCAGTTTTGGCGTATTTCTTGCTTATAGAGTATTGGTGACGGCAAATCGTCGTTAGTTGGTCCAGATTGTCTATGGACGATCCGGGCACGCCGTTGAACTAAATTTGTACCTGATCAGCTTGCGTGGTCCGAAAAATCTTGCAGTGAGCTGCGTTACTAAGATTGTAGAGGTCAATCTTGGCTTAAAAATTATTTAAGTGAACTTAGGGATCCCCGATTTCGTCGTATTGGGGGAGATTGGGATCGTGAATCTGAGAGGCAACACTTCTTCCATAATAGCAGAAATAAATGGGTAATTCGGGTGGACAATGACCCAAAGTGAGCGGTCGTCGACCTCGAGACTTCTCGCTGAGGACTCCTTAAGTTACAGTCGTCGGAGCCTGCTCGATGCCTTCTTGTTTCCTGGTGTCGGGAAGCTCTACTTCAGAGATGGTTTCGAGGGGAGCTTTCATGGTGGTGCGCATCTTCGCGGTGTCATCCCCCTCGAGGCCTTTGACGATAGTCATACGACCAGGAATAACCACTTCTCGTCCGACAGCTTTACGTCACTCTCTCCCTTGAAGGGGCTCGGACTCCTTGCCTTAGTGGACGTTGTGATTGGCGATGAGTTTCCCTTCGAGGCACGCGGTCTGGGGATGTGTTACGCTGAGGCGAGTGGCAGTGAGCGTATCTTCAAGGAGCCCATTCGGAGGAATAATTTTGGCCGTTGAGCTATACTCTGTCCTCTGAGTCATGGAGCTCCACGATTGGCGGATTGGTACAGACATACACGGAATCTGTAGGACCGATTCCCATATGAATAGTTTTTTCAAAGTCAGTTGTGCTTTGAGCATTGATATACTGAGCTACAACGTCCGTCGCTGCCCAAGCTGCTACTTTGGCCACCGTCTTCTCCGGTAAGGCTTGTAATTCCTCTGTGGTCATCTAGATGACTGGCGCTGAAGATCCAGCAAGGTTTGCCGCTCTCGTCGTTCTCTTCCTTCGAGGCGGCTCTATGACTCCAGCGCTACCTTGAAGCGGTTGTTTGAGATCGCCTTGACCAGCTTCGTTGGCCACTCCCGTATTTCTTTTCGTTCGAGGCGGCTCTGCGACTCCACCACTACCTTGAAGCGGTTGGTTTACATCGCCTTGACCCTCTTCGTTGGCCGCCATCGTAGTTATTTTCCTTCGAAGTGGCTCTAGGACCCTGTTGCTACCTCGAGGCGTTTGGTTGAGATTGCCTTGACCACCTTCGTTGGCCGCTCCCGTAGTTCTTTTTCTTCGAGACGGCTCAGAGACTCCAGCGCTACCTTGAAGCGGTGATTGGGATCGCCTTGAACCTCTTCGTTGGCCGCTCCCGTAGTTCTTTTCCTTCGAGGCGGCTCTGAGACTCCACCGCTACCTTGAAGCGGTTGGATGGGATCGCCTTGACCGTCTTCGTTGGTCGCTCCCGTATTTCCTTCCTTCGAGGCAGCTCTGAGACTCCACCGCTACCTTGAAGTGGTTGGTTAGGATCGCCTTGACGCTCTTCGTTGGCTGCTCCCGTAGTTCTTTTCCTTCGAGGTAGCTCTACGACTCCACAGCTGCCTTGAAGAGGTTGGTTGGGGTCGCCTTGACGCTCTTCGTTGGCTGCTCATGTAGTTCTTTTCCTTCGAGGCAGCTCTAAGACTCCACCGCTACCTTGAAGCGATTGGTTGGGATCGCCTTGACCCTCTTCGTTGGCCGCTCCCATAGTTCGTTTGCTTCGAGGTGGCTCTGGGACTGCAGCTACCTCGAGGCGGCTGGTTGAGATCGTCTTGACCACCTCCGTTCGCAACACGTGCTCTATTTTGCATTCCCACAGACGCCGCTAAAACGATGCTGCTCCAAAATGTTAGGTCAGCCCAATGGTCTTGAAGCCCACAAGTCTCTTAAGTCCGAGACGCTTCAAATCCAATATCGGGAATGCCGAGAGTCATTGCCACGCAACGAGGTAGTCAAAGGGACGACTTCACTTGTTAACCTGCAAAACAGTTGAAAGCACTAGGTGACACGCCGGGGGTAGCCCAGCGATTATCCTCCGACACTCAAGTTAGAAAACTATCACAATATAAACAATTAATATTAATTAATTGCCTAAATAGTGCATACCTTGTTATGTGGATAACACATATTTATAGGTGGAGTTTGGTATGGTTTTCTTGTAGAAAACCGATGTGGGACAAAAAATATTAGATTTCATCCCATAAGCTTCTTATGAAGTTCTTAATTAAGGGCCTTTGTGTTGGGCTTTTCCTTTCAATGAGCCTCATGGGCTTTTTGGGTTAAAGCCCAATTAGGCACATCACGGAGAAAATCAAATTTATACATTGGCCTTCGACGAGGGGAAAGTGTTCAAATATTAGGGCAATAATTTGGAATGGGGAAGACATAAATTGTATTTATCATTGGATGTCTGTAAATCAAAGATGTAAATCAAAAGATTTACTAAGGATAATTTCAGCAGTAAAATATCTTATGAATCCATGAATAGTGGTTGGACTATGCAATCTCGGGGGAGGGGTGTGATTATCTAATCTTGGAATTCAAGGAAACGGAAGGATAAAAAACCGGGCCCTTAATGGCTGATATATTGGAAACCTAACTACTTATTATTAGTGACCAATCAGTCAATGTCGGCAGTGTTTGGAAGCATTTTGAAACTTATTTTAATTTCATTTTGAGGAAATATGTTTTGGGGATGAATCTGAGAATGAAAGTAATGATTGTTTATATTTTGGAAAGAGATAAAATACATTATAGCAGTTAAATAATGTTTAAAAGTGTTACAAAAATATACTTTAGAAGAAAAAATTGAAAGATGGAGTGATGTTTATTTTTTTTAGTGAAAACATTTTTTACTGTAGTAGTCGCATTATTTTACTGTAGTAGGTCACATCATGTCTGAACGAGAGAAAAACTTTTGAAATTGTTTTGAGAAAATTATTTGAATTTTCGTTTCTCTTTTTTCTTTTTTTTCTGAAAAAAAATTGGAAAGTTTAATAAATACAATATAAAATTTTTATATTGGAGATCAATTAAAACAAAATAAAAATCCGTCCAAACATTGGCTTTTCACTCAGAGCAAAAGGGCCGATAGGGTACTAAATCAAAGCAATAACCTCCCCTTATTTTTAAATATTTATGTACTTGATTGGCCAAAAAAGTCAAATTGTTAACTTATAAGTTATAACTTATAATAAGTCTTCACATGAGAATATTTTCATTATTTTATAAAAAAATCGAATACTAAATTATAAATTTTATACAATACTTTAATTTATATTAAAAAGACCTAGGATCGAATCTTGTGAGTTGTTGTGTTGGACTTTCAACTCCAATGAGGGTTGGTTCCTTGTGGGCACCAAGTCCGGGTCCACTATCCTAATGGATCATTGAGTTATTATTATTTACATTCATCTATCAAATACTTGTCGGGTCAAGGAATGGGGGCCCTGGGGGCGAGAATTTTTGCTTGTTGGAGCAAATAAATAATCGCATTTAACGTTACATCATGAACTTGGTATACCTCTAATTAATTTAATCAAAATTCATCAATATTTCCAAACAGATATAGCCTAAAAAAGTCTTTAAATACTATGCCAATTAACTAGATTGATATCAACATAAATACATACATATATTTCAAACTGATATCCAGCTAAAATGGATGATCTCCGTGAAGTTGCAAAGGCCTACCATGGAAGAGCAACAAACGAGGAGAAAGAAAAAACCAAGAACTACTTCCGATCACTGGACTCCAACGGCGACGGCAAAATCAGTCGCGCGGATATCAAGAGTGATCCGGCACTTCAAAGATTCACGCATGACTCACTTTTCGATTGCCTTGACGAAAATAACAACGGTACCCTAGATTTCCAAGAGTTTTTGACCCTCGACTACATGCGGAAATGTGGAATGCGGTGGTGCAAAAGCTGCAGTGATTGGCTGATAGGGTCGACTACTTAATCGTACACAATATATATATATATATATATATATATATATATAATTCATTGTGGATCATTTTTCACACATTTCGTAATCCTACATATGATATACATCGGTGCCTTCAGGGGCGTACGCATGTATATGTCTGGGGTCCCCCCCAAGAATTTTTCTTTTTAAGCAATTTTTTTAATTTTATTGTTATGTATATATTAGTTAATTCATTTTCGCCCCCAAACTTTTCATTTTGTACACTTTAGTCCATAGAAACAAAAAAAAATATTCTCTTAAATGATCCGCTCCTGGGTGCATTGATCATATATGGGTATGAAGAAAATATGATTGCACATTGTTAATTGTTTCTATTGATCACGACTTAGGATTAAACCTAAATGTTTAAGAACTATTAATAGTCAAAACTAGGAAATCTAATAAAGACTAGTCTACCCTTTGACCTAATAACATAATAGCTATTAATATAATAAAGGGAAAAAAATTAGTTGTTCGAAATTGAATTAATTGAGATTTGTATCTACAATATGTGCAGTCTTATGATTTTATTTTTTATTTTTTTTTTTATGTGGGTCTGTTGTATACAGGAAATGATGCAGTCACGTTCTCGATCTAAATCTAAACGGGTGAGCTCTATTAAAATTCCATTCTATTTGAGCTTGAATCACTTGCTGGTTTTGTTATTGTAGCATAGTTAATAGGAATATTACATCCAAATAAAATTATTATTTCCATATTTTTCTTATTATTTTCACTTATATCCCTTAATTAAAAATCATTCGGGCATAATGAGCTATTTCTTCATACCTAAATCATCTCAAAAAACTCTTTCTTTTAAAAGTCCAGACAATTCAAAGGTGTGTGAAGGACTAAAATGTCCCCTCAACTTAATAATATACACTAATTTCATCAATTTGATCGCAATTTCACCAACTATTCAAGTTTAATCCCCAACCCAATTTCGACCATCATCGCTTTTGACTACCGGTCAGTCGCCGTTGATCACCGGTCTCCAGCGTCGATTGTTTTATTAAAAAAAATCTCTTGCTACTGGAGGCGTAATTTTTTTTCTTTTGGCCTGATATATTTTTCCACCCGGCGGTCAACCCCGGTCTCCGACAGCATTGATTTTTTTTTTGATCCAATTTTTTTCCTAGAACATTTTTTTTGGTATACAGTAATGTTAGTATAGTTGAAAGTATTATTAAGTATATTCTTGTTTTACACTATAATATTACTGTATTACTGTCTAGCACTTTAATATTTAATATTAACAACAAAATCACTATGTTACATAATAAATTATTGTGTAGTGCAGTAATATTATTATGTTAACTTGGGATAAAAATGAGCTGAGCTGGCTCGACAAAGCTCGAACTTGAACACGAACTCGAGTTTTTTGAGCTCAAACTCGGGCACTCGAGTTTTCTAACGAGCCGAGCTCGAGCTTAAAAAGCTAAAATAAAATAAAATAAAAGGCTAAAAATAAAATATTGATGATGTTTATAGTAATATTATTGTGTTGACATTAATATTGATGTCAATCACGGTAATAGTGCTATCAACGGTCAGTGTCGGAGGAAAAAACAGAGCAGTATAAAAAAGAAAAAAAGTCAACATCGACGGTTTTGTGGTCAAAATTAATGAAATTGGACTTAAGTTAGAGTTTTTGATTAGGAATTCGGTTTAAAAAGTATGGGAAAATTTTATCATAAATATTTAAACTGCTTATATTATAAGAATTAGCTTATTCGTGAAAGAGATAAAAACTTAAACATAAATTAATAAATATTGACTTCAAGGACTTTCTCGTAATAATCCCTTAATTTTAAGCATGTGATTAGTCCAATATATTTTGTTATACTTATACGTTCGTGTCCATTTAATATATCAAAATACCAAAAAAAACTCTTTTCATAAATATAATAGCAAAAATTCCTCTATGATTTTTAGGGATAGCCTACTGGCTACTAGTATTATATAATCATTTTTTTTTTTTTTTTTTTTTTTTTAGTTTTTTGTATAAACAATCAGACTAACTCATGTGTGTGCTGAATGCAATAAATTCAAAAGGCGGCCCATTCAATAAAATATTTATGATAAACTACTTTTTCTTGTGTTTTTACTTGAGTTGTCTCTATGTATCTTACGCTTAGCAGATGGGCAAGAAAGTTCTCGATGCGGTTGTTGTTGGTACAAAAATTGGAAATGCGGTGCTTACTATTGATCATATTGTAGATGCTCTCAGCTGTTCTGTCATGTAGTTGAGTTCTTGCTCACAAATTGAGACAATAATTAATATTAAATTGAAGTTCATCTTGTTCAACCCTCATCAATTTTCAATTCCGTCTGTTGTAAATTTCAATATAAATAAATAAATATTGTCTAGTATTGTGAAATATACGTACGTAGAAAGTACTTCTATAAAGTCCAATAACTTTCTCATTGGCATTTGCAATGTTGGAATTGAAATACTCTGAATCTTAATTTAGTAAAAATAGGCTGAATTTGTTAAGAGTGGATCTGCAGGATATTTTGAGAGAAGAGGAATATGAACTAAGGCTACCTCCAATTTGGATTGAACTTTTTTTTTTTTTATTGATTGCTTGAATTAGGGATGACAATGGGTAAGGATTTTTTGGGTCTTAGACCTATAACCGACCTGTTTGGGTCGAATTTGGGTAAGTTAAATCGTTTTGTGTCGCATAATAGGTTTAAGTTTCCAGAAACGAATGGTTCTGGATCGGGTTACGGGTATTATTAGAACCGACCCGGAACCGACCCTTATAAATAGATTATATTTAATAGTTAATCTATATATACAAATTAATTTATGATTTCATTCATCAAACTTCCAACTCCATCTTGTCTATTCTCATTTGTTAATTTTTCACCGTTTCATTTTTTTGAATCTTGTTTCTCGTAAATAATATCTATAAAACTTATCGACCACCGCTAGCCGTCTTGCCTTTTGAACTTTTTTTATTATAAAAGTTAAATATAATTAATTATATAATTTTATTATTCACTTTATATCACTTCTAGAAGTTTTTTTAATGTATTTCAATTTTGAGATTTTTTTATTAAAATATACAGCAAAATATTATGAAAGTTAAAAGTATTTAAAAAAAATATGTCAAAGGGTCTGTGGGTCTGACGGGTCAGAATGGTTTAATTCGGGTATGGGTTAGGGTGGGTCCAGGTCTAAGCTAAAACTGGCTAGGGTGGATCTAAGTTTTATATATTTTTTGCGGGTCGGGTCTTGTATTTAGGTAAACCTGCCCCATAACCGACCCGTGACCATCCATCCCTACCTTGAATAATTAGAATACACATTGACTCTTGAAATAGAGCACTTGAAGTTGTTAGAGTGAGTGACCTATTAGCAAACTTTTGATTGCGGTTTTCCTCTTACTTGTATAATGAAAAACTCTATCTATGGCAAGCTACACATTTGTCTATAAGAGCGTAGATATAGACCTTATAATTATTCTAATCTACTATAAATTGATCTATGAGAATCGTGAGATAATTCATTTAATACTGTAGTTGTTAAACAATTTCGTAGTCGATGGGTTACGCCAATAAGTAGGATGGTGGCCTTTCAGTTTAGCGCTTAGTATCTTTGAGTTGCGTCTCATTAGCTACGATGTAGAGACATCGACATACTTGAGTGGATGCTCATAGTAAATGAGTTCACTGAACTCCCTTGTCCGAGAATCTCTGAATGGTTTCCCATCTATCGAGTAAGAGTTCTACGATTATAATTATACACCATTAGTCCATATGACCTAATATATCACTATGACTTCACTTGATGATCAACTCTGTTGTGACCCATGCATGAGTCTCACTTGATAATCTCTATGGATTATTGTCCATTTGCATTTTCTCTCTATCTCTTTATTATTCTTGTTATACTTTATTTTCACAATCATCAAACTCAAGAGCAATATAATAGGGCGATTTACAACAAATAATTTATGATGTAACATACTGACTTTAAATAGTAATATAGTAATATTATTGCCAAACACAGTAATATTAACAATTATACATGGGCCAAAAAACATTCCCGAAAAAGAAAAAACAATTAGTTTTACCAGTCAGCTGCAACGGCACAAAAAGAAAAAGTTAACGCCACCAGAGACCATCGTTGACAGCAGGTCAGCGGCGACGGTTATTTGCTAATGGGGTTACGCGTTAAAATTGAATAATTAGACGTTAAAATTGAATAATTAGTGAAATTTTGGGTCAAAGTGAGATTAAATTGGAGCATATTAAAATGTGATGAAATATTTTATTCTTTTACACACCTCTGAACTTCATGTGGACTTTTTTGAGTTATTTGCACAGCCCCCCTGTGTAATCTCTAATCGCTAAAAAAGCCTTATATCAAAACAATTAGCATATACCCCATGTGTTGCATAGACAACGAGATTAAGGCCCCTACGAGCTGGTCGTGTGATACACTCGCCAAATATGTGACCGATGTTCGATTTTTGACGTAAAAAAACCCGAATACCCTTTGAACTATAAATTAAAAAATAAGCCCCAAATAAAGTTTTAATTTTTTTCAATTCAGTCCCTTGAAGTTTCACAAAGGCCCTCTTCTTCCTTCAGCCACGGACTGAATTGCAATTTTCCAAAAGTACACTAAACATAGCTGCCCGCCGCTCTTCCAAAAGTACACTAAACACTCTCTCCGGCCTCACCTCCCTCCATATCCCAGCCTCCGCTTCGCCCATGGTTCGCCGGAACGGAACAGTGCATTGTCGCGGACACTGCCGTTCCAGTTCTGTTGCAAGGTCACGGCTGCGTCGCAGCCGGAACGGACACATTTTAACTAAATTGTTAAAAAAATACAATATACTTCTAATATGTTTTTAATCACAATATTACAATTCAATAATATGCAAAATATTATTAAAATTTTAAAAATAAATATTACAAAGATTATTATGAAAATATAAGCAATATTAATACCAAGCTGGAATTATGTAAGATATAATTGAAAAGTGAGGCCAAATAACTGTGATTCAGGGGAATCTTCATTCTCTAACGTGGCCACCACCATCATATTATTTCGTTTTTTTCTTTTATGTTTTTTTTCCTTATTCTTTTTAGTCAAATTTGTTTATTTTTTTCTTTTCAAATTAATTTTTCCTGTTCCGGCGCCGTTCCGGCGCCGTTCCGGCCGCGTCGAGGCCGTTATGTGGCTCCGTCTCGCCCATCGCACTGATTTCTCGGCGTTCCGATGAGTTACGGTGAAAAGACCGTTCTGGTTACGGAGGGCACCGTTCCGCCGAACCATGCCTTCGCCCCACCACTCCAACATTTTCTCCGACGAAATTTGTTCGATTTGGAGCTAAGATTCAAAGCTCAATATTCTTTTGCAAAACCCATTAACAACCCGTGAAAATTCAAGAAAATATCTGCCCCCATAAAAATCAAAGCTTTTCAGAGAAAAAAATCCACGAAAAAACTATTTTTTACATTTTTTGCATCTTCTCCGGTGTCTCCCGATAGTAACCCACCATTATAGCCTCTTAGGCTTTCGTGGCTGCTGCTTCTCTGTCTTTGGTGCCTTCATTGTGAGTGTGGTGTACGGTATGGAGATGACCATGGCGGAGCAGAGGAGAGATATATGGCAGTGGAGATGGGGAAGAATGATGTCGGGCTGTAGCTGACGACTTATTTTTATTACTAATTTTTCTTTTTGTTTTTCTTATTTTGGTTATTTTTTGTTTTATGTTGTATTTTAATGAGGGTAGTATAGTCAGTTCCTTTTAGGGCATCTCCTATGGAATGGGGGAGGGGTGGGGGAGGGCTGAGATGTTTAGTGAGTAGGGGGTGGAGTTGGGCAGGGGGACTGGGGTGGCTTGGAGTAGGGGTGAGCAAGTCGGACCTATCAACCCGCTACACCCGTCAAACCCGTGCAAAACAGCCCCGTTGGGACCGGACAGATAGGTCCATCTGGGTCCTAAAATGGTGAAGAACCGTGGGTTTTGGTCTTAGACGGGTTCAAATTTTTTTAATACCCGTGAAACCCGTTCCGCCCCGCCATACAAAACGACGTCGTTTTGCTTACATTATATACTATAATAAATAATAATATTAATGAATAAATAAAGTATCTCTAGTGTATCAAATACATAAATCAACTAAACTATAATTATGAAAATCTCTAAGAAAATGTTGGAAAAAAGATATATACAATGGTCAACACACGGCAGAAAAAAAAGGAAGAAAATGGTGTTGAATGGAGCTGAATAGCGTTGGTTATGTTTGAAAATGCTATATTTATTTTATTTAAATTTTATCTTTTAAGTTATGAATTAGCTATTTTTAGTTTTATAGTAATTTTTATTTACTCTTGACATTTACATTATTCATGTTTGGTTTCAATTTAAGATTTTAGGTTATTCATTTAGTTTCTAATTATTCTCCCTTAAAACTTATAAATTATATATATAAAAAAATAGTTTAGACGATAACGGGTTTCGACCCGTGAAGGTTGGGTCCTACTATAAACCCGCCATGGACCCGTCTATCGTAAACCCGTTAAAAACCCACAAGTTTGGTTCTTCAAAATCAAGAACTGTTGTTTGACGGGACGATGGCGGGTTTTGATAAAACCTGCGGGTTTATGGCCCGCTCACACCCCTAGCTTGGGGGTTGAATTGAGCCCAAGCATAAGCCCTGGGCTCTCACTCAACTCTCTCCCACGTGAATTTCAAATTATACAGTTTTTAATTTTTTTCCTTCTCTTTCCACGTTAGCATTTTGTTTTTTATTTTTTTTCTTTTTTTTCTTTGTATCTTTTCTTTATTTATTTTAATTTATTTTAGTTCTTTTTTTTTCCTTTTTTTTCTTTATTTATTTATTTATTTTCATTTTATTATTAGTTTCCTTTATTTTACTTTAATTTTCTCGTTTTTTTCTCTAATTCGATCTTTTTAATTTAAAATAGTAATTTTATTGTAAATATTCTATTAATTATATTAACATTACGTGTTACTATTATTATGATTATTATTATTATTATTATGATTATTATTATTATTATTATTATTATTATTATTATTATTATTATTATTATTATTATTATTATTATTATTATTATTATTATTATTATTATAATAATAAAATTAATAATAATAATAATAATAATAATAATAATAACAATAATAATAACAATAATAATAATAATAATAATAATAATAATAATAATAATAATAATAATAATAATAATAATAATAATAATAATAATAATAATAATAATAATAATAATAATAATAATAATAATAATAATAATAATAATAATAATAATAATAATAATAATAATAATAATAATAATAATAATAATAATAATAATAATAATAATAATAATAATAATAATAATAATAATAATAATAATAATAATAATAATAATATGGTGAGAGTGGTGATGGAAAAAAACTGAAAGAAAGAGATTAATCGTTTGGACGAGAAATGGGTTGGGGTCGGGGGACCCCCCATCGACAGGAGATGCCCTTAGTCAATATATTTATTTGGAGACTGGGGGACAGTGAACTAAATAAAATGCAACATAAATAGTTAATTGTTAATTGTTTTCACATGAGAATTAATTTAGCCATTAAAGATTACACAGAGAGTATGTGCAAATAACTAAGATTGATTGTTTTGGTAAAAGAACATTAGGGATGGAACAAAATATGGATAACTTGGTGAGAATTAGATTATTGGTAATAGCGCTTAATAAGAAATTGAGAAATAAAAGGGAGGTCCAATGATTCAAGCCATATGCAAAAAAAGGTTAGAAATTGCCAGCCCATGCCCCATATGCCCTCCTTCGAAAAGTGTACCCTTTTTGTGTACACACACTTGCTTCTGCTATACTAATTACACTGACTCACTGTCTTTCTTATACCAACTCTACATTTTATACAAATGGCAGCAATCACTACTCCTCCCACTCTCACTCCTTGACGGCCCTTGCTAACTTGCGCCCCCCCCCCCCCACTCCTCGTAAACTCCACCCACATACTCATGGCGGCCGCCGCTGCGGCTCTCTTGCTCCTGATGCTCCTCATCTCTTCTCCTTTTTACACAGTATGGGCGGAGCTGAACGCGGATACCGAAGCCGAGATCCAAGCCTTGACCTCTCTGAAGATGAGCTTCCACGACCCACTCGGCGTGCTCGCCGGCTGGGACCCTTCCACGCCGTCGGCTCCCTGCGACTGGCGCGGCGTCGGCTGCTACAGCCGCCGCGTCAGCGAGCTCCGCCTCCCCGCCCTCCAGCTCAGCGGTGCTATTTCTTCTCAAATCTCCAATCTCCGCATGCTCCGCAAGCTCAACCTCCGCTCCAACTCCTTCAACGGCACAATCCCACCTTCCCTATTCCGGTGCACCCTGCTGCAGTCGATCTTTCTCCAATACAATTCCTTCTCCGGCGACCTCTCTCCTGATTTTTCCAACCTCACCAACCTCCTCGTCTTCAACGTCGCCGACAACCGCCTCTCCGGCCAAATCCCCGCCGTCCTCCCCCAGAATCTCCGCTTCCTGGACCTCTCGTCCAACGCATTTTCCGGAGAGATACCGACGAACATTTCGAGTGGGTCCCAGCTGCAGCTCATCAACTTGTCCCACAACCAGATTTCCGGCGAGATTCCGGCGAGCCTCGGCGAGCTCGAGAATCTCCAGCATCTGTGGTTAGACTACAACAGCTTACAGGGCACGTTGCCTTCTGCTCTGGCGAACTGTTCGGCGCTCGTCCATTTCAGCGCCGATGGTAACGCAATAGGTGGGGTGGTGCCGGCGGCCATTGGCGCACTGCCAAAGCTCCAGGTTGTTTCTTTATCCCACAACAATTTATCCGGGTCTGTGCCCCTCTCTCTGTTCTGTAATGTTTCCGATTATCCGCCCTCGATTCGGATTGTTCGACTCGGGTTCAATGCTTTCACGGACATCGGTACACCCACATCTGCCGTGTGTTTTAGTGCGATGCAGGTTTTAGACCTTGAGAACAATCAAATTGCCGGCGGATTTCCATTGTTTTTAACTAGTATTTCCTCATTTACATCTATCGATCTCTCTGGAAATTCTTTTTCCGGTTCAATTCCGAGCGAAATCGGAAATCTTAAGCTATTGGAAGAGCTTAAATTGGCAAACAATTCACTCAGTGGTCTACTTCCAGCTGACATCACAAACTGTAGGAGTTTAAGAATTCTTGATCTCGAGGGTAACCAATTTGCCGGAACAATTACCGCTCATATGAACGAGCTCATCAATTTGAAATTCCTTAATGTAGGAGGGAATAACTTTTCGGGTCAAATTAATATTGGAAATTTAACGGCACTCCAGAGCCTGAATTTGAGAGGCAATGGATTCGAAGGAGAGTTGCCTCAAGAACTGATGGTTTTGAGCAATTTAACTACATTGGATCTGAGTGGAAACAAGCTTTACGGGGTTATTCCGTCAAGCATTGGGAATTTAAAGCAGCTTACAGTTTTGAATCTTAGTGGCAATGCATTTTCGGACAATATCCCTCAAAGCATCGGTACTCTGTTTAAGCTGTCAGAGCTCGATCTGAGTAAAATGAATCTGTCGGGGGTGTTACCTTCTAATCTTGTAGGCTTGCCTAATTTGCAAGTGATTGCGTTGCAAGAAAACATGTTGTCTGGTGATATCCCGGAAGGTTTAAGTAGCTTAGTCGGTTTGCGCTATTTGAACCTTTCTTTCAATTCATTTTCGGGTCACATTTCTCCCACTTTCGGATTCTTGAAGTCGTTAGTTGTCATGTCGTTGTCCAACAATCGCATTTCCGGTTCAATTCCACCGGACCTGGGAAATTGTTCGTCTCTTGGTGTTATTGATCTTCGCTCGAACTCTCTGAGCGGTCAAATCCCGGTTGACTTTTCTCGCCTCTCCCGTTTGACAGTTCTTGATTTGGGGAAGAACAATCTCACAGGTCAAATCCCGGAACAAATTTCCAACTGTTCCTCTTTAATCTCAATCTCGCTCGACTCGAACCATTTGACCGGACGGATTCCTTCAAATCTTTCATCAATATCCACGTTGATCAATTTCAACGTCTCGAGCAATAACTTGGAAGGCAGCATCCCATTAGTTTTAGGGTCTAGGTTCGACAACCAATCGTCTTTCACGGGCAACAAGGGATTATGTGGCAAGCCGTTAGATACAAAATGTGGCGACGAAGACAGTAATAATGAAAACCGAAGAAATAAGCTTATCCTATTCGTCGCCATTTCTGCCACTGGAATTCTTGTCATGCTATCATGTTGCTGTTTCTACGTGTATAGCTTCTTGAGGTGGAGAGAGAAAGTCCAAAAGGGCGCTGCTAGTGAAAAAAAACACAGTCCAATTAGGCCAAGTTCAAGAACAAGTGGGGTCCGCGGAAGTAGCGAAAACGGCGGGCCGAAGCTTATCATGTTCAACAACAAGATAACATTAGCGGAAACAATCGAAGCCACAACTCAATTCGACGAAGAGAATGTATTGAGCAGAACTCGACACGGTGTACTCTTCAAGGCGTGCTATAAAGATGGAATGGTCCTCGCAATTCGCAGGCTACCCAACGGAACCCTAGACCTGAACACCTTCCGGAAGGAAGCGGAAACCCTAGGCGGCGTGAAGCACAGGAACTTGACTGTCCTGCGCGGTTACTACTGTGGCCCGTCGCACCCGAGGCTCCTCGTGTACGATTACATGCCTAACGGAAACCTCGGTACTCTCTTGCAAGAAGCCTCGCACCAAGAAGGGCATGTCTTAAATTGGCCGATGCGTCATTTAATCGCCCTCGGCATTGCTCGTGGGTTGGCCTTTCTCCACGCATCTTCGACTGTGCACGGTGATGTAAAGCCGCAAAACGTGCTTTTCGACGCGGATTTCGAGGCCCACTTATCCGATTTTGGGTTGGAAAAGCTCATAGGGGGTGCGGCCGCCCCCCCTCTCCAAGCAGAAGCTTCTACTTCAAACTCGGTTGGAACGATGGGGTATGTATCGCCCGAGGCGACGCTAACGAATGAGGTTACTAAAGAATCGGATGTTTACAGCTTTGGGATTGTTTTGTTGGAACTTTTGACGGGGAAAAAACCGGTGATGTTCACTGAGGATGAAGATATTGTGAAATGGGTGAAGAGGCAGCTGCAGAGAGGTCAAATTTCGGAGTTGTTGGAGCCGGGTTTGCTTGAACTCGACCCGGAATCTTCCGAGTGGGAGGAGTTTTTGCTTGGAATAAAAGTGGGTTTGCTTTGCACCGCACCCGACCCATTGGATCGGCCAACGATGGCTGATATTGTTTTTATGTTGGAGGGTTGTCGGGTCGGCCCGGATATTCCCTCCTCTGCGGATCCTACTTCCCAGCCTTCTCCCGCATGACCCGCCAAATTAAATTCGTAAAGTCGAGCTCGTTGACTTTTTTTTTTTTTTCCTTGTATTTTTGTCACATGTTGGTTGGGAAAAATGAGAACAATTTGGTTGATTGATTGACATTAATGTATGGCCGTCCATTGTTGTTTTTTTCTTGAAAATGTTATTTTGGAGTAGAAATGATTATTGTTTTTGGCGCTTTCATATTTTGTATTGTTTTGGTAGAGAGATTTGAAATGAAGAGTGAGTGAATTTTGGTGTCGGTTGGTTGGGGCAAAAGTGGGACCCAGTTGAGAGAGTGAAAAGTAAGTGTGAAACTTTGATTTGATGTAATAATGAATAAAAGAAGTGAGCAGCATCCTTGAGTCAATGATTTGGACAGGTGTGTGTGTGTGTGTTTTTAATGATTTTTTTATTAGAGAGAGAGAGAGAGAGAGAGAGAGAGGGTAGTTTTGATGTGTTGGTGTCACGTGGGGGCAACAAAGACTGTAGTGATTGGTGGTTGGGTCATCTGTTTGAATTTAATAACTATTATTGATTGATGTTGAAACTTGAAAGTAGAAGAGGGAAGCATCTTTTGGGGACGGAAAAAGTAGCCGTTAATGCTCTCTCTCTCTCTAAATCTTCAATCATTATTTATGGGGACGGCGTGCCGTATGAGCACGGTTGATCGCATCTTCTCCCCATTATTTTAAGGACCATTTTTTTTTTAAATTTTCGTAGATAATGTACACAGGGCCTTCGTTGTTGCACCAAAAGGCGAAATCTCTCGCCCCCAGGGCCCCCATTCCTTGGTCGACAAGGATTGATGGAGGAATACACGATCATTCTGGCACACTTAAGTCGGTTAAATTCGATCCTATATTTGAAATCACGGAGTCTAATTTTAGAGCAATTTCAAAGGCCGAATTAAATGGAATACCAAATAGTAAAATGCTTAATCCCACTTTGCAACATTGAAATCTACAATTTTAGCATTTTGCACCTTCGAAAAATACAATATATCATGCATAATGCACCCAATATGATTTTTTAAAGCTAATAAATGTAATTTAATATTTTTAGTGCTATTTAAAAATTATAGTTTTTAGAACAAAAAAATATTTTACGAAAAAAAAATATTCAACTATTGTGTTATCAAGTTATATGAAATTCATATTTTCTTCCAAATATTTCTATATAATATTTCCACCAATTACAATAAAAGATCTATCAATCAAATAATTTAGTGATAAAAGTTTATTTGATTTTATTTTGTAAGAAAATATATTTTTTTTTTCAATTATCCGGTGTGATTTTTATTGTTTTGCACTTTTGTGCGCTCGAAATTAGGTTGGAGGTTGAAGAAAATAACAATTATTGAAGAAAATGAATTACCCTTTATTATTCAATTAAGGGTGCAATGTGAATGATTTATTGTGTTTTGAGGGTGCAAAGTACTACTATTATTGTTTTTCAATGGTGCAAAGTGCCAAAAGGCTCTATTTTTAGGGTGCAAAGTAGAATTAGGCTAATAGTAAAACTACCATTTTATACCTTAAAATTCAAATATCCCGTGCAACGGAGGCATTAAAGAGGTGGTTTTTTTGATTCAATATCTCATTGAGGTGCAAAAATGCATCAAAACAAAAACAAAAAAGAGGAATCAACTATCCCTAGAAAATAGCTCCAGCAATTTCAATGTGGACAAAAAAAATCTTAATATATTACAACCGAAAATGAACAATAATTTATTTGATACCTATGAGTAGGAGCATATAATTTTTTTTGAAGTATCAAATATTATATCTAACATCAAATAAGTGTTTGATACTCCATTTTGGTCTCTCGCCATTGGAATTACCAATACACATTAACAGTTGCCTACTTTTACAAACACTCACTTATATAACTGTAATTATGTTTAAATTTTAGGGCGACTAAAACAAATATCGAAACTTTCTCACTTCAATATTTACCGGTTAAAGACTACATTTTCACAAAATTTTCCCAATTTTTTATTAGTTTAATACCAAGAAGTACAAAATACCCCTTATTCACAAAATACAACTTACACCCACACAATTAAAAAAAGAAAAAATCGTTTCCCTTATTTTAATTTGTTGAAGACTAAATTAAAGAAAATAAATTAAAACTTCCCCTTCCCACCCCCAAATTCGATAGGTTATCTCGAAAGGTTTTGAGAAATCGACAAAATAGTGTCGATTTTTTTTAAATTTTCGACCACAAACCGTTGAATTTTACAAAATTTTCGACAACCTGTCAAAATCTGACTTTTTTTATTATTGTTTTTGTTTTCAGTTTTTTGAACATATGTTTATTTACTTAAGGTTGTGTTTTTTTTTAGTGTTTGTAGTTAGGGCTGGGCATTTGGGATCGGGATTCGGGATCCAGTCCCGTCCCGATCGGAATTTTACTATTTGGGACTAAAACTTCGGGAATTCGGGATTATGGGATTCGGGATTGGGATTAGGAACAAATACGGGATCGGTATTAGGGAATTGGTTCAATCCCGATCGGGATATTTTAATCCCGAATTAGGAAAAAAAGAAAAAAAAAACTAATAAAAATATACACACACACACACACACACACACACACACACACACATATATATATATATATATATATATATATATATAGTGTCAAGGAGATAAAAAATACAATATAAAATATATTGTTTCAACTTATTTTTACATTTTTAAAATTTTATTTGTTCCAAATTTTGTGGTAAAAATAAATAAGGCAAGAACAATAGTATGTATATAATATATAATATATTCAAGTTGGTTTAGTGTATAAAATAATACTAATGGAAAAAAGATGCAATATTTCTTAGTTTTTAGGTAAAATATGGGATTTCCCGATCCCAATCCCGATTCCCGAAATATTTAGGGATACCGATATAACCGGGATTTAATAGTATGGGACGGGATTGGGATTTAAAATTTCTATCCCGAATCCCAAAATCCCGATCCCGAAAATCCCGAATTCCCGAAATCCCGTCCCGAACTCACCCCTATTTGTAGTGGAAGAACCTCATAAACCATCGACTGCTTCCCATCATAAGAGAAAGGCCCTGATCGAGAAGGGCAAAAGTAAGGCAAAGACCACCAAGACTAATATGTCTGCCCCATTCAAAGCCCCGGGACAACGTACACGTAGTACACATACACGGCCTGACGAATGTCCTTCCTCACCGGTTCCCAAACCGACACCCGTGCCGGCTCTACCTACTCCACCGGTCCCATCAACCACTGCAGTCGGTGGATCGAGCAGCCAACTGAACCCACCTAAAGTTAGAGGTCCCGAAATACCGGAATTGATTTCAAAATTTGATAAGCACATTTCTTATCATACTCTATCCAGAGGTCCGGAGCGAGGCAACATTCATCATTTCGAACATCTAGCCATGTCGCAATTCCTATCAACCGAGTCATTTGAGAATACACTAATAATATGATCTGAATTGTCTAACTTCATTAAAAAATGAAACTCTTTTTGAATTATCATTTGTGAATTAAATGATTAACAATTTTTCCGTTTTTCTTTCCATATTTAAAAAGAAAGTCTCATGCTTGTAGCTGGATCAAGATTTGGATTGAGATCCAATCGAACAATTCAACGAGTTATGAGTTCGGAATTACATGACCATGTTGGAGGGCTGGAATGGGGCGCTGTTTATTACTGAGACCGTGGAGAGAGCTAGATTGATGCCAATTGTACGCGCCTCGTACAAGGCAGCCGACTATCAACATGTTTCATCTGCCGGTTGAAGAGATGACCATCACACTCGTACGTATCGTAAGCTGTGACTACTGTTTGACACAGTATGGCGAGTCTGCCAAGGATGTTTTGAAGTGCTGGCTAGGTAGTAACCTGGATGAGAAGGATAAAAATTGGGGCTCCGGAAAGAAGGTCATGAAGTTGTGATCCAACCATGTAACCGAGTAGACACGGCCACGGGTCGGATCCGACCCGGACCCACCCCATTGACCGAGGACCTGGAAGCGGACCCGAGTTTGCATGGGTCGGTTTCGATTCTTGCATTCGAGGACCCGAGACCCGACGGGTCTACCCAGCGGGTCGGCCCGAGGACCCAGGTTTTTAATGTCATTTTTTGCCAAAAAATGCATTGGTTTGGAGTCGAACACATGATCGAGGACCCGGAACTGGACCCAAGTTTGCACGGGTCGGGTTCGGTTCTTTTATTTGAGGACTCGAGATCTGACGGGTCTACCTAGTGAGCCGAGAGGAACCTGGTTTTTAATGTTAATTTTTGCCAAAAATTCCAATGGTTTGAAGTCGAACACATGACCATCGCATGCATATCTATAGTACATACCACCCGGGCAAAGCAACTAATAAAAAGTAATAACTATACTCTATATATTTTAAAATCAAAGCGTAAAATGATCATAATAGTTATAGTAATATAAGTAATGTTTAATAAATTATTAACTATCATATTCATTTTTATTATTATTAATATTAAAAATCTCCGACAAATTGTTATGAATTCTAGAAGGTGTGGATGAATACCATTACTCACCACAATCACTCCCACCATTATCACAGCATAATACCTATTGATGATCCCATTATGACCTTGTAACTCATGACCTTTGAGAGGTCTTCTAGTGCTATATATAGAGCACTATGTGATGTATTTTACACAATTGAAGAGATGAAATAACATACTACATATTCTCTCTACTTTGTTCTCTTCTTCTTGTATATTGTTTATTAGTTTCTCAACACGTTATCAGCACGATTGTTCTATTTCCATTTTCAAGTAAAGATGATCCAAAGAAGATAATTACTTCTCAACCATAGAAGATGAAAAGGGAGTTGATTTCAAATATTTTAATGTTGTTTTAAATTGATTAAATATGAATCATCTTAATTTTGTTGTAGGTGAATTTTCGTGCAATTCACGAGTCTGTACTTCGATGCCTGTTTTGGACCTGATACTGTCCGAGTTTCAGAAAACTCGAAATACGAAACTTGTAGAATTTTCTGTTGGCTTTTCGGAACATTTTGAATCAACAAAATCGGATCTCAATCAAGAGAGATATGCTTAAAATACTCAGCTCTATCAGAGCTGTCCCTTGTGCGTATTTTGAACATGATGTTCTAAAAATAAAAGGGACGATTATAGGCCTATAGCCTATATTACATACGAGATTAAAATTCTCGAGTGAGTATATT